GTATCCCAGTTATGTTTACAACCGTGATTTCAATTTGGTAGTTCTTAGTGACAGTATAAGCCTCTAGAACATAGCGAATTTTGGGGGTTAACAGATACCCAGAGATGTAATTACAGCTTTGATGTGTTTTCATTTGAGGAGTACCTGTTACACTTACATATTTTTTTTCTGGCAATTCTATCCTTTTCAGTTCCTTGCTTATCAGTTTTTGGATGACTAGCAGGTATACTTAAGTATTTTGTTTTTGTTTTTCAACATTTAAAAATAAATCCTTGATCTCTTGAGCATTTTACATCTCTCATGTGACTCTTGAACTGTTTGAAAGGACCAGTCTCATCTTTCAGGATGAAATGACATCAGTAATAAAACATATAATTGCATTTTTATTCTAAGGATGGGAAAATTTGAATCTTAAGGGAGAATGTTTACAGAGAGGGCATACAATGAGAGCAAGCTTTTTAAAGTCTTGAATTTCAAGTATTTTAGTGAGTTTTTGAAAAAAATCCTTGCTTTTGCTCATAAGGAAAAGGATGCCTCCAAACACAATCCAGAGAACTTCAAAATTTTTTCTTTTAAAAATTAAAAAGATTTTATTGATTAATTTTTGAGAGAGGGGAAGAGAAGGAGAAAGAGGGGCAAGAAACATTAATCAGTTGCTTCTCATTCGCACCCCAACTGGGGACCGAACCTGCATGTGCCCTGACCAGCAATCCAACTGGTGACCTTGTGCTTTGCAGCTCAGTGCCCAACCAACTGAGCCACACTGATGAGGGCAAAATTATTTTTCTAAGAATATTCAAGAACTTGTGGGGAAAATCCTAAATGAAAATTTTAGTGTTTTAAAGGCCTAAAGGGAGTGTGTTAAGAATTTATTTTTAATTTTTCTACAGGCATTTATTGAAAACATATTTGGGGTACTTCGGTGTGTTTTTGTATGGGCTCCATTACTATGTTCAGTTTTAGATTACCAACCTGATTTCTTATTATGTCTTGTCTTTTCTTATTTGATTACCTCCCTTCTTTCATCACATTCTCCCCACTAAATGATCTCATCTATTCCCAGGACTTTAATATCCTCTGGATGAAGATGACTCCCTCAGTTACACCTGCTGCCTGGACCTTTCTCTGGTTCCAGACTTGCATTTTCAACTACAGCCTTCCAGCTATCTCGACTTAGTTGCCTCATAGTGATCTCATATTTCAAATATCCACAACTGACTACTCAGTCTTCCTCTTAAACTTCCAAATTAGTATTCTCATTTCTGGCCCCTTCCTCCCCTCTCCTCCAGCCTTCCCTCATTGTTCACTCATTGTTCAGGCCAGACACCTGAAAGTCATCTTTGATTCTTCCTGATTCCTCACCACACATTCAATTCATCAATGTCGCCTGTTGGCCTGCCTTCCAGAATACCGCAAATCCTCCATTCCCTCCCTCCTCCTAATCCACCCACCATCCTCTCAGCTGGATCACTGCTCCTGCCTTTTATTTCAACACCTAGCTTCTACTCTTACCTTCTTCTAACCCACTTTCCCCTCTACAGCCAGAGTGATCCTACCAAAAATCTAAACCAGATCATGCCAGCCCCATGCTTAGTGACTTCCCACTGTACTTAGCCGACATCCGCACTTCTTACTCTGAGGTGTCCAGCCTTTGTCTTCCTTTCCAGCCTCCTTGCCCGCCATGCTTGTCAGGTTGGAGCCCTCTCAGCTCCCCCAAACATGCCAAGTTCCCCTGTACAGACCCTTCTCCCTGCCCGGCACTCCCCCAGCCCCATTCTTCTCATAGAAAGATCCTTCTCAAACATCTGGTCTCAGCCAAAATACCCCTCAGAGGGGCTGCCCTCTTCAGCCCTTCTGCCGTACATGTAGATTTCATGTTTAGCCAAAATTCCAAGTATTTCACTTATATGTTTGTTTTCTTCTTTATTGTCTACTTCCCCCCAACAGACTGCAAGGTCTACGAAGGCAGGGGAAGCCTTGTCCTACTTACGGTATAGTCCTGGCACCTGGTGCTGCTTAGAATCCAGTAGATGCAGAGCCTTGATACAGTTTGAGTAATTATTATAACAGCTAACTTTTTTTGAGACTTACTTTTTAAAAAACTCTCACCCAAGGATATGTTTTTATTGATTTTAGAGAGAGAAGAAAGGAGGGTAGAGATAGAGAATGTGAGAGAGAAACATTGATTGGTCGCTTCCTGTGCACGCCCCAACTGGGAAAAGGGGGTAGATCAAACGCACAACCTTTTGGTGTCTGGGATGGTGCTCCAACCAACTGAACTACCCAGCCAGGGCATTTTGAGACTTAATTTGTGCCAGGTCCATTATTAAGTGTTTTCACACATTATCTCTAAGTATTGGGGAGAATAAAAACTTTTAAAAAATATATATAAACAAAACAAAAAGAAAGAAAAATATTTTAAAATAAATATCCGAGAAAACATTTAACTAAGATGATGATGGTTATTACATTATAATTCCTATTTTTAGTTGAGAAAACTGTGCTTAGAGAAGTTAAGTAATTTTAAAATTAAACAGCTAACAAAGTGTTAGAGCTAAGATATGAACATACATGATATGACTGTAGAAATGTCCCTCTTATGCATTATTGCCTTCTGATATACATGTAGGAATGAATATGAAATATGCAATATTATTATTTGATTATTCTTCATGTTTTTATTTCTAAGCATATATTGGAGTATAAAAAATAAGAATGCTTGGGTGTGGATTTTGCAGTTCCTGGGAAGTTTCTGATAATAACCACTATGCCAAAGCATATAGAGATTAGTTTATGTTGAGGCTCTGTGTTTTAATTTTACCTTTGCCACTTACAGCTGTAAGACCTTGGGCAAATTACTTAACGTGTCTAAGTCTCTTTTTTCAGCTGTAAATGGAGAAAAATAATAGCTTGTATCTCACAGGGTCATTTTGAGAAGCATAATTATACACACACACACACACACACACACAAAATCAATGTTAGCTTAATATTATAAGGAGGGGAGAAGCCCTCAGGAAATGATTTGTCACCCCATCAACAAATTAGAATTTAGGTAAGAATGAAAAATAGACCATAATGGTATTTGTTTCACTGACTCTGGTTTTAATTGATAAAAACTATCAGGAAATAAACTATTTGGCTTCGGATTTATAATTATTCTGTTGATATATAGCAACTTTGTGTTTGGATTTAGACTTGTTAAATGCTTGTAGGTAAGATAGCTTTCTTCCCTTTTTTTTTTTTAAACTTCTTCCTGTCTTAAAGATTCTCAGGGTAGAGAGATCTTTACAGAGGCTGGCCATTTTTGAGAGGCTGATTATTTTTATACTGTTCACCAGAAAGGTGCTCATCATCATTGCCATGTACTTCAGTAATGATTAGGACTAGGAGCTTCCTTCGTATTCCCAAACAAACAGTAGACCTAGTACAGATGCAATGGGCCTGACAGATCTTATGTGGGCACAGTTCTATTTTCTGGGCTTATAAGCAAGCACCAGACAGGTGGCTTCCATCATCTCTGAAACAGGACAAGGTTTTCTGCTAAAAGTGGGGAGAGGTCAGAGGAAAAACAAGGAGATTTGACATACAATTGAGGTCAGGAAGAAGAGTGACTTTGGGCAATGTCCATGACCTCCAGGCTCTATGTAGGGCTCTTTGAGATAGGAGACTGTGGATTAATTGGGATTAACCAGTAGCATGCAACTGCCTGATTTTAGGAGCAAAGAAGATGTATAGTTGGATAGAGCCAGGGTTGGGGTTTGTCGGGGGTGAGTGGCAGAAGGACGGTAGAGCAGAGGAACTGAGGGTATTGGTCAGAGAGTGATTAACATGATGGGTAGAAGTGCCTTGGCTGGATGGGGAGGAAAAGAGGACCAAAGGTGTTGATGAAGTCAAGGAATAGGTACATTGGAGTGTTAGAGTAGTAGGAGGACGTGGTTAGGAAAGGACAAGGGAGTGGAATATTTCAGAGTTGGAGCAGTAATTACTGGATGTGACAGGCTCCTGGGTTTTGCCACTGACATGAATGGCTGAAGTATATGAACTCAGGGAACTCAAGCAGGTTAAGTAACTGCGAGGCTAGAGAGTTTGGGTTTGGGTCATCCATGTGGTCAGAGAAATCATCGGAAGGAAGGCAGGACATTTGGGGTGTAGAGAAGGAAGGTGTGCCAGGTCTTCAATGAATGAATTACCGGCAGTGAGAAGTGTGATGGCCAGCCTGCAGGAGCCTCAGGGGATTTTGCCTGAGGGCAATGAGACAGCAGTGACCTGGATGCTTGATTGATTATAAGGTCTCTCTAGGAGTTGGGTTTGGCCCAAGTTCATTTTGCTTCTGAAGGAATCCTGATCCCAATGGGCAGCACTGATGGTATGTAGTATTGACTAAACTTGGCCATGAAAATCATTTGTGGGTGTATGTTAAAAATGAGGATTCCAAAGCTCCATCCCAGGTCCCCTGAATTAGATTTCGGAGAGGGGACTGAGAATGTGTATTTTCCCCTCTTCCTCCCCGATACACACACCTGGTAATTCTTTATAATTAAGCACATTTGGGAAGTGCAGCTATAGCGGATAAAATGTGGGATCTGGAAGCCAACGGCCTGGGTCTGATGCTTAAGACATGGCAATGAGCCTTAGCCCGTGACCCTTAATAGACTGCCTTTCTAGGTCTGTCGGATATCAGAAGTATGAATTAAGGGACCCTTCATTAGAGGCAAGCACACTGACAAAAGCAACAAGAGACAGCTAGCTGGTGATGAAAGAGGCAGAAATGTTATACAAAATCATTCAAAATATAGCAGTCTTGTTAGCCTCATTGGTCTCTGAATAGAACAATGAATCATCATTGTTACTCTGTTCAACAAGAATAGGTCAAATTATGATTTGGTTAGTTCAGAAAGGCCGAGGAGGAAGTAATGCATTTTAGAAAGCTTTTCATCATAAGCTTGCATGTTTTATTGCTTCAGCTATCCATAAAATTAATGTGTGTGACACAGTTCTGTCTCTGAAGATACTAGATTAGAAAACCATTTACTCCCTTCTCTCTCCAACTGAGCTTAGGAACGTGTCTTGCCGGCCCTTCAAGGCCCTGGTGGCTATGTTGTTGCAGCCCCTCTCTTGTTGTGATCTCAGTAGGAAGGATCCTGGGAGAGCCAGGAAATCTAGATGTGAAATCATATGGTAGATAGAATGTGTGGTGGGAAAGAGGGTAGTCAATGTGAAGAAAACATCAGCCTTATTCTAAACCTCTCTGAACAAGAAAACTCTTCTTGGAGTAAAACCATGAGAAAATAGTGTGTGTGTGGAAAAGTCTTTATTCATTATTCATCTCATAATACTGACATCTCATCGGATGTCAAACTGGACACAAGCCATATTGATTATCAGAATTACGGAGAGAAGCCGTGTGCATGTAATGTATCTGGGAGAGCTTTCAGTTATCTCCAGTGTTTTTGAAAAGCATGAAAGAAATCACAGTAGAGAGAAAACCTGTAAATGTAAGGAATGTGGTAAAACCTTTAGTTTTTCACCTTCACTTCAAATACATGACAGAACCCACACTGGAGAGAAACTGTCAATGTAAACAATATGGAAGTCTACAGATATCATCAAACTTCAAACACATGAAAGGACTCACACAGGAGCTAAACCTTATGAATGTAAAAAATGTAGTAAAGTTGTCTTATTTTTCTTCAAATACATGCAAGAACTCACATTGCAGAGAAACCTTATGAATGTAAACAATGTGGTAAAACCTATATATATATATTAGAGCGCCTTACAGACATACCAAAGAACTCACATAGGCGAAAAAACCTATGAATGTAAGCGATATGGTAAAACTTTGAGTTCTCATCTAGGTTTTCAAAAACATGAATGAAGTCACACTGGAGAGAAGCCCTATGCATGTACGAAATGTGGAAAAGCCTTCACATGTTATCATAATTTTTGAAGATATGAAAGAAAATTCACTGGAGAGAAGCTCTATGAAAATAAAGAATGTGGGAAAGCCTTCAGATGGTATCAAAGGTTTCAAACACATGAATGAAATCCCACTAGACAGAAACCCCATGCATGTGAAGAATGTGGGCTAACTGAAGATATTATAGCATCTTACAAAGACGCAGAAAGACTCACACTGGAGAGAGACCCCATGAAGGTAAGTGATGTGATGAAGCCAACAGAGATCACAGTTCCTTGAAAACACGAAGTAATTCATGCTGGAGAGAGGAACCTTATGTGCTCTATGTATGTAAACAATGTAGTGAAACATTTAGTTGTCTCAGTTATCTTCAAAAACAGAAAGAAATCACATTGGGAAGAAACCCTATGAATGTAAAAAATGTAGTGCAGTATTTAGATATCCCAGAGAGCTGCAAAAACATGAAAGAATTCTCACTGGAGACCTGTCGTTGGAATGTAAACACTGGTAAGGCCAATGAGATCCCAGTTCCTTAAACACACGAAAGCACTCTTACAGGAGGGGAGCCCGATGAATGTAAGGAATGTGGAAAAGCCTTCATTTATCACACCCATTTTTGAAGACATATGACAATGTCTTCTTGAGGGGAACCTTATAGAACTGCAGAATTTGGGAAAGGATTCAGTTACTCTAGTTCCTTTCCAACACATGAAAAGACTCACTGGGTAAAATGCTTAAATGTGAAAAGTGTGAGAAAGGCTTAAATTGAGACACAGCGTTACATGTGAAGACTCCCATGAAAGAGAAATGTAAGTAATGGGAGAAAGCTTGATAAAAATTAATCCATGTATAATGTGCCATAGAACTTTCAATATGAAAGAGTTCTTATTAATGTTATAAATATATCATTGGACTATGAATTTCTACTAATTTCAGAAGTGACTATTCACATGAGATAATTCTGAGCGTTTTCCTCCTACAATAATGCATAAGATGAGTAGGTAGTGCTTTTTCCTTAAAAACATTTAATAATATTTTCTCTCTATTTTGAAGCCTGTTAGATTTATGGGTGAATTGGAGTGTATTTTTATATGCAGTTAGGTTAAATATGTCTTTATCACGTTTTATTTGTTCTGTGTTAAGGGGCCATTGAAAAAGGGCTCTTTGGTATTTGGATTTTCCTACTGACCTTGTGGTAGTCCTTTATATCCCCAGTCCATTATATATATTCTGCCTTTCCCTCTGATAAAACTTCTCTTGGTGGGTAATGGGAATAGGAACCTTTTTCTGTTTTCCATACTAATAAAAAATTCTATGTATGGCAAGTTTATGAAAGGATATAGTTTCATGTAAAATATTATTTTAATTTTTTGGCCCTCTTTGTCTTTTTTTTTGCTGGTATATTTGGTGAATAAATTTTGATTTAAGATGAGGGATCAACAAAATCTAGAGTTGGAGACATTCCCCTCTGTGGGTAATGTTAGGAACTTGATTCTCCAACAGCCATCTACATTGTGCTTCCATATTAGAATTCCGGTATAGCCACACTGGCATGGGATTGGAAGGCTAACACGAAGAGGGAATTAGATTTTGGAGCCACCATACAGTACAGACAGACAGGTACACAGTAGCTATGGGAACACCATCTTCCAAACCGTAGTCTGGATTCTCTGACCTTCCAACCAAGACTATCCTCAAAACCACCACCAGCCATCTGATATTGTAGCTTTACACTGGTTTCTTCACAAGACCCGCATCAGAGGTCCATCAGAGTTTGGATTTTTCTGCAAGCCCTCTTGTGTCCGCCAGGAAATGGAATCAGACTTTGATGCTTATACCTGATTCCCCTCCTCTCTAGATTGTATCTAGATACGGTCTAACTTGTAAGGAAACATCTTGTGCATTTAGCAGTGCTAGTGAGTGTGCTCTCCCGATGGACCATGACATCTACAGTGCGCAGTAAAAAAGGGGGGCTCGGGAGTTCCTCTCCCTGCTGCGCGTGCAGTGGCTGCCTTGACCCAGACCGTCCTTCTGTCGGGGAGACTGGGGGTGTTTCCCGTTACTTGTAGCTGAATGTAATCCCTTAGTATGTTCTTAATTATGTTTGATTGTGATTAAAAGTGTGTGTGGGGTTTTTGTTGACCAAATGAACCCGTCTGTAGGTGTTTCATAAAAATATTCTATCAACTGTTTTCTAAGCTGTCATATGCCAACAAATACTGTTTTTCATTTCCTGAGAAAAATGTTAAAACACCCCATTATAATTATGGATTTTCAAATAAACTTTGAAGATTCTCTTGACTACTAAAAAAAAAAAAAAAGAAGAAGAAGAAGCATTTACTCAATGACAAGCCAGAGACAAGAGCAGTTATCCCCAATGGGCCATGTACATTATTTGATACTTAATGTCATGATACCAGTGGCCCTACCATCCCATTCTCCCTATTTTCACTAAGAAACTTCTGTTCCTTTTCATGACAAGGAAGAGGAATCCTGCAAAAGAATAGCTGCTGGGGAGGGAAGTTGGGAGTTAGCCATTCTTGGCTGAACAATTAGAATCCCCTATTGCTAGTAAGGAGGTTTTGAGTTTGAGATGCAGTGTTATATCCAAACACTAAAGCTTTGGGAAAAGAATCTTGTCAGCTCTGCTAGAAATGGTTGCTATGGACCTTGAGCCTAAAACTTGATTTGCTCTAGCATGTGTTCCATTTCTAATTTCCTCTTAGCATTGCTGGTCCCATGAAGCCTGGCTCTCAAACTCGTGAATGGGGTGCCAAACATGGCATAGCATCTTGGTTATATTCCTGTCACTTACCACATCCTTCCACTCGCCGACTCATCTCCCTGGTGAAGTGCAGGGAGCCGCTTGAATGCACATCTTGAGACCTAGAAAATGTGGCGGTGAGGGTTCAGCAATGCCAAATCAACCAGAACTTTCAGTTAGCAAGTTGAGAGTCTTAAAAAGGAATTCTATTTTTCTTTTAAAAAGGAATTCAGAGTATTTTTTTCCCTGTTAGAAAAACATTTTCTTCTAAAACTGAGAAATACTGAACCAGAGGCCAGTGAGTATTTTAATGATAGTAACATGTTCTCTAATATCACACTTTCCTGCCCTACAGAGCGCAGGGACCCTTGAAGGTCCTGCTTTATTCCAGTATTCTTTATGTTTGGATCACTTTAGAGTATTCCTTTTGTGAAATGTTTATATTCCTGCTATGAACTCAGCCCCTTGGGGTTAAAAAAGGAGGTCTCCGGTCTCAAGGAACTCATTTTTAAAAGTTAGAGAAGGTGCGTTTAAATGTCTAACCTCAGGCAGAACATGCTGTGTGCTACAAGGTGCAATCAAAATGTAGGATCGCAGACAAAAGAGGTTATTACTGGTGTTGGGTGTAAGTGGCAAGAGGGGATCAGAGATGCTTTCAGGCAGTGTTTGTAATTAGATTGCGTCTTGAAGGCTGGGTAGAATATTGGACAATTATATTTGATATCCTCTGTACTGAGGCATTCTTTATTTTAGTAAGATTACAGAAATATTTTGGTGCTTAATGAATTAGCTTTCACTCATCCAGAATGCCTCATTTCTCAATTATTTTTGGATAACTTGTGTCTGTGATTAACATATGAAATATTAAGGGACGTATGGTAGAGAAGGGCTTTTATGAAAGCCCTTAAAAATAATTTGGGATCATAAGAATGTCTCAAGTGGTGGTGAATAGAAAATCAGAACGATAATGGAAGGTACATGTTTTGATATATGATTCATGATTTGGGGGAAGATGGAGCTCTAAGTGACATTGGTGAGGCCTGCATAGGAAAGGAGTAGCCTGCCAGGGTAGGAGGCCTCTCGACCACTCACCATCTCATTTCTGAATGTCTCTCTCAGGGAAGGTTGGCAGTGAGGGCAGGGGAGCACTGTGGGCTGGGGCCGTAGTAAACTGAAGGGGGCCAGCTCCTCCTTGTCCTCCTTCACTCTAGCTAAGCAAGAGGGGTTTACAGCAGGGCTGTGAAGCCATGTGCAGAATTTCTCTTCCTGCCTCGAGCAAGGGCTGTGTGCCTTGTTTCTGGGTTTGTCCTGCCTCAAAGCTGTATCTCCGTACCACAGAGTGGATTCTCCCTTGCTGACGTGTGCCCCTCTGAGTGAATCCCTTCTCCTTTAGCAATCCCATTTCTTGCCATGGTAAGTTAGCTGCAGCTGGACCATTGTGCTGGTTTTGCAAATAGTTGTTATGCCTGACATCTTGCAATTTTTCCTTTGTCCTGTTGAGGCTCTATTTTCCTCCTCTCCCCTCCCTTCCCTCGTGCCCTCCCTCATGCCCTCCCTCCTTCCCTCCCTCGCTCCCTCCCTCGCTCCCTTCCTCCCTCCCTTCCCACCTGAGGATATGTTTACTGATTTGAGTGAGAGTGAGAGAGGGAAAAAGAGAGAGAGAGAGAAACTGAGTGAAACATGGATTGGTTGCCTCCCATACGTACCCTGACTGGGGATCGGGAATTGAACCCTAAACCTAGGTATGTGTCCTGACCAAGGATTGAACTCACAACCCTTTCAGAGCATGAGACAATGCTTCAACCAGCTGAGCCACCTGGCCAGAGCAAGGCTCTATTTTCAATCTTCCTTTGCCCCATCCGTTCAACACTTAATTTTCCAAGAAGCTGAAAACCATATCACTTGTACATTTTGTGCTGAAAGGGTCTCTGGCTCAGAATTCTGATCTCCTTGGGAATCAACACATATGGTTTTAAAAAGACAGTATTTTCCTTATATGTCCTGGTGATGTCAATAGCATTTTAAAAGCCAACATATTTGGCAAAGCTATATGCCCCATTTTATCATGCAGGTGACCAAAGCAGCTCTCAAAGCAGCTCTCAGAAAATGAATTCAGTTTCTCACCAAAAATGCAAGTATTGTATGATTAGTATGTGTCCAGTACTATGCTAGACACCAGGCACCATTGGGGAGCAAGTTAGACATGGTCTCTTTGGCCTCATGCCACTTACTGTCTGGTGGCTCCGTGGCCAGGAGCCGTGATAGATTCATAGTGTGACTGCCATCCAGAGGGCGGAAAGGCCTGGCCTCTAGTCCTGCTTTTGTCTTTTATCAATTACATGACCTTATGCATTTGCCTCTATTTTCTGTCAACTGGGATAAAACACCTTTTTAAAATATTTATAAGACTTTTATAACACTTGAATGACACTACATAGAAAGAGCTTTGAAAAGGTCAAGTTACTATAGATGC